GTTTTACAGCACGTGTACCTTATAAACAGGCCCCATGTGAGAAAGACTCAGACACAAACACGGATCACAAGATTTACACCCCACTGCCACCCCCGGGGTGATCTCAGGCAAATCATGTAATGCCTCAGTTTCCTCTTCCCACCGGTGAGGGTGAACAACTCCACTTTACAGAATTGTTGAGCAGAGTAAGTGGGATCACTGAGGGGCTCGGGGTAGCTCGCAATACCTGGAAGCTATAACCACAAATCTCTGCCCATTCAGAAACGCTCCTCCATCCTGCCAGCTAGCAATGACTACAGTCTTCAGAGCAACCCTCAGTCAGCCAGCAGGCTGGGAAACCCGTGAGCTTCCTAGAAGACGGAAACCAAGAGAAACCTAGAAAGAGTCGGACGAGGAGCATGACTCCTCATCGTGTGTAGCGGAACGATGAGGTATTCGATTAGGAAAGGAATCCTGCGGGGAGGCCTAGGATGGAAGGGACTTCAGGATAATGACAGAGTCAGTCGGAATTACATCGCAGCACACGGGTGTTTCCTAGCATAGCAGATGTAATTTTTATAGTGTGTAAGAATATAGTCTACGGGGCTGGAGAGATGGCTCAGTGGTTAAGAGCATTGCCTGCTCTTCCAAAGGTTCTGAGTTCAATTCCCAGCAACCACATGGTGGCTCACAACCATCTGTAATGAGGTCTGGTGCTCTCTTCTGGCCTGCAGACATACACACAGATAGACTACTGTATACATAATAAATATTAAAAAAAGAATATGGTCTACAGATGTTCTATTTCCTCCCCCGAGACAGGCTCACTCGGGAGCCCAGGCTGCCCCCAAACTTTTGATCCTCCTGCCTCGATCCTCTAAGTGCTGGGGATGAAATGGGTATGCCACCACACCTAGCTTTCCAAGTTTTGTTTCTTCTTTAGGTGGTACAGAGGTTCAAACCCAGGGCCTCATGCATCCCAGGCGAGCACTCTGCCCCTATGCCGGCCCCTTCCAATCGCTTTAGAAGGAATGTTTCTTTCTCGGCCTAATCCTGGGAGGGAGATGCACACTTCCCCGTTTTTCTGGATGAGGAAGACGAGGCGTTTCCCCCAGATCCTGCCTTTTGGACCTCAGCCCCGCCTCTCACCTGGCTCTGATGGATTTCTACAGATGGTGTCAGAGCTGGCGCTGCCTGGAGCCACCTCCACCAGGCCCTGGGTCTCACATCTGTGGAGGAAACGGGACTGTGAGCTCTTGCTGTTCTCCTTGGCACCTGGTGCTCTAGGAACACATGGTGTGGGAATGGCCAGGCGAGCATATAAAGCCAAGGATGACGGAATGACAACAGTAAGGCTTCCTGGAGTTGGGGGGGAAAGTCTGGGAAGGGGCACTCTCACCTGGTGTGGGGTTGGCAGCGGGCTGTAGGGGAAGAAGTGTTCTGGAAATATCCTGGCTTGCAGGGGACACAGGCGATGTCAGTATCCATAGCTTCATCTGTCAAAAGAAAGGCAGGCCAGTCAGAGTGAGTGGACAAGCGTGAGCCCAGCTGTGGGCTTCTTGATGGCTCCTTCATGCCAAGCCTTCATGCCAATATAACTGTTACCTTCCCAGCTTGGCTTTAGCCTGCCGGTTTCGGTTTCCCCAGGCTTCCCCAGTGCTGACAGGAGCCACCTTTTAAGTACCTCACACCTGTCCCAATTCATGACTTGGCAGACCCCCCGCCTGTGAGCCTTTTGCAAGGAACGATATTTTCTGTCAAAGAGAACTCCAGTGGGGAGTCCCCAAAGGACACCTTACAGAGCTCCTAGCCCTTGACACCTAGCCTCCTTTCACTGGTTGCCTTCAGTGACCTCTGACCTGTAACCTCGGCTTCCGTGCCAGGCTGGCACACTACAGGTTGCTCGCAGTGCACACACTCATTGTCCAGATACACACAGGTCATCCCTGGCTTACAGCGACACTCAGGTTTTCGGTCACTGGCGCAAGCGGAAACCTCCTCGAAGCCCAGCACTGGAAGGGAGAGGAGAGGGAGAGTCAGAGAGGGACTGGGGCAGAGAGGGGCCGGGGTTGCAGCTGCACCCATCATCCAGGTGGATCCCCACTCACCAGCGTCACAGGAGCGGCAGAGCTGGCAGATGGAGAGATGGTTCCAGTATTCATTGTAGTAATTATCGGGGCAAGTCTCGCAAGCTGTGTCTTGGCTGTGGCTGCATACAGCGGAGACAAACTTGCCTGGGAGGGAAAAGGGGTATCAGGAGGCAGGAGTCTATCTCCGCCGCTTGCTGCACGCCACAGAGCCCCTCCTTGGCCTCTTTGTCCCCATCCCGTCTTCACGGCTATGCAGCCACCTCTTCAAGTCTCAGTGGCCGTGTGACAATGGCTACTGCTTCTCCCGTCTCTCTCTCCCATCTAGTTTACCAGTGTTGGTGTCCTTCGGACCCACCTCTACCACCCGGGCTTCCTGGGGCCACTCTTCTCACCTGGGGGACAGCGGGAGCAGCAGACTTGATGCTTAGGCTCGTAGTATTCCTTCTCCTGGTCCCAGCAAGTTTGGTTTTCTATGCGATACGGGGGCACCTTCCAGGGGGAGGCGGAGACAGAGAACAAGGCAGGGTCAGCTCTGTGGGCAGAAGGGCTGGAGAGAAGTTTGCCCAGGCCCTCTTTCTCACCTGGCCCATCCCACCTAGCCCCTCCCTCACCAGCGGGGGCTGGGCTGCCATCACGATCCCGCAGAGTCCCAGCAGAAGTGGCCCCCAGACCAGGCCGCAGGGAGAGGCCCCAGGCAGGCGCATGGCGGCCTTTCGGGTCGGCTGACCAGACCGGGTGGAGGCCTGGGAGGAAGGTGGGAAGCCCGGACGTCCTGAGCAGCGTTGGCCACGACTTCCCAAGCCTGGCGGCTGGGCCGACGTGCCCCCCGGGGGCCGGGAGCGGCCGGGCCTGGCCTCCAGGGCTCCAGCGCCGGGCTCAGGAAGTGGGAGTGGAGAGAGCCGGCCGGGGGCGGGGGCAGGGAGCTCTGGGAGCAGAGACCGGCCTGTCGCAATCGCGACCGGGGAAGAGGAACAGGCTTGGCCGCCTCGACGCAGGGCGGGAGGGGGGTGGCCGGGAAAGCACGTGAGAGCTGCAGGCCCGGAACCCGGGCCTCCACCTTTCTCCTCAAGCCTGGCCCTCAGAGGGGCTGCAGGTCAGGATCACCCGCTAGCGGAAAAGGGGCGGCAGAGTCGGTAGCTAGCCGCCGTCTGTCAAGCTGACCTCCGACAGCCTGGGGCAGAGCTGACCTGGGGACACATGGATGTTGAGGCAGAGCAGTGGGCAGCTGGGTGCCAGATTTGCACCCGGTGGAGACACCCAGAGGTGGCTAGCAGATGCAGAGCCTGGCAGAAGCTGAGGGCCTGCCCCACTCTGTGAATTTTAGAGAAAAGCTACCACAGTAAGAGGCCACTGGGCCTCCACCCTGCTGGCCCACCCACATCACACACTATTGGGCACACCACAAGACACTGGAGAGAGTGCAGCTGGCCCTGGACCTGTCCTTCTGTCCTCTGGGGAGCTCTCTCAAAGGGAGAGTGGGGGAAGATGTGAAAGCCTAGGTCCTGGTGAGTTGGGGACCTCTGGGCTGGGGCTGGGTAGCCCAATTCCAGCTGGCATGCCCATAAGCCTGTACCTGAGAGGCCAGCCTTCCCTCTGGAGAAGACCTGCTCAGGGTGCCAGGCAGAGGTTGTGGCCTTTTCTTCCCACCCTTATTAGCCCGGAGCTGCTTGCAGTTTTGTGACGCCCCCCCTTCCCCCTTCCACTGGCTGACACCCCCAAGCCCCACCCAACACACTCTCCAAATTCCAGTCCACGCTTCCAGGAAGCAGCCACAGAGCCCTCAAGGAAGACTAATGTCTGCTTTGTGCCGTCTGTCTGCTCCCTGTGAGGCTATGGACTGGCCTATTGCCTGGTTAGGATGTTAAGTCTGGGCTCACAGAGATTAGCATGATCTGGCTTAGGCCACATGCCAGGTCCACACTCAGGGAATAAATGAAGGCTGTCTACACTAGGCTACTCTGGCAGAATCTACCTGCAGTCCAGGCCTGAATTTCAGATCCCAGCTCGGGTCAGCATCCATCCTGCCTTCCTTGGGACTCAGGGGAGTCTCCTTTGGGACGAGGGGAGGTCTTCACCTGAGAACTGGCCATCTTCATGGCGGATCAGGTATCCAGACAGGCTTTCAGTAGACGTGTGAATCGGGTACAGGAGTGAGTTGTAGAAAAGACTGGGGGTGGGTGGAAGGGGGCTGGAGAGATGGCTCAGAGGTTAAGAGCATTGCCTGCTCTTTCAAAAGTCCTGAGTTCAATTCCCAGCAACCACATGGTGGCTCACAACCATCTGTAATGAGGTCTGGTGCCCTCTTCTGGCCTGCAGACATACACACAGAATATTGTATACATAATAAATAAATAAATAAATAAATAAATAAATAAATAAATAGAAAAGACTGAGGGAACCTACCTGGGATTTATGTCACCCTGTCTCCCCACAGGGTGTAGGCCCAGTAGCTACACTCTGCTGGCAACTACCATTAGCAAGTAGTCCAAGACCAAGGCTACCAGGCGTGAGGGAAGAGATACCTAATAGCAGACCAGCTCTGGCTTCTCTTCCTTCTAGGCCCAGGGAGATGCGCCTAGATCGCTTGGATCTCTCTGTAACATAAAGGAACAGCTATGTAGCAGTCTTAGGTTATTTCCACTCTTCCTTTTATGTTTTATTAGGAAAACTTCCCATGTAATGTCCAAAAAGAGAGCAAATAGTTTTGGGGTTCTCCTTGTGGTCATTACCTAGCTTTAACTCACGGCCAGTCTTCCTCCTTCACGTAGTGTGCGCATCTTAAAGCTTGTCAATCTTCGTGTACAGATGAGTGGATTCTCACTTGAATTTTTTCACTTATTTATTTGTATGTGTATATAGCAAGTGTAACACAGTTCTAATTGGTCTTAATAATAAAAACCGGAGTTGGATATTAAGGGGATATTAAGGGACGCAGTGCAGCCAGCCACTAGAGAGACCTTTTACCTCTACCGAATCCTGAGACCAAAAGGGCAATGCTGGCCTCAGACTGCCTCTCCATACTGCTCAGACTGCAAAGAACTCCTCCTGTCTCTTCCCGCGGGATCTCAAGTGCTGGAACCAGCTTTCTGTGAGCTGTTTCTCTTAAAGACTGGATCGATTTCGTGGAGCCTAGGGTGGCCTAGAACAAACAGATTCACCTGCATCTGTCTCCCAAGTCCTGGGTTTAAATGTGTGTGCCATCACTGCTGGCCTCTAGTGGCTTAGTTCTGCACTCTGATCTCCAGGGAAGCTTGATTTGTTAAAACACAAATTATCACTACAAATAAATGTGGGACTATGGACACTTTCCCAATCAGAACTCAGAAAGGTGGGGAGATGCAACCAGACCTCGGAGCCTACTGGGACTGCAGACAGACACCTCTTAATACAAATGGTTACTACACTGTCCCTCTGACCTTCTTCAGGAGGGCAGAGACTTCTAATTCTTAGCGATCACCGCGTCATCTTTGTTCTTTCCTCTTCTGCGTTTTCCCACCTCCTGGAAACTTTGATCGATGTCCACTGGACACACCAGACGGGGAGACTCCTGGAAGGCTTGAAGGGCTCTTCTCCCAGGCCTCCTTCATGGAGACTTACTGAACTACCCTTCTCCCCACAGCCCATGAGTAATCCCCAAGGAGAACTGGTGTGTGGGTCCCTCCAAACACTCCTGTCTTTGTCACACTTCCATTAGCCAACTGATGCCCTTAGCCAGCCCAGTTGGGCTGGGAGACACTGAGAAATGAACATAGTACATAGAAGTGGACTGTCCCAGTGTTTGGAATGTCACTGGAAACAAAGCCTTACCTAGTTATTCTCAGTCTTGGTAACTTTGCTCCCCAGAAGACATTTGGTAATATCTTAAGACGTTTTAGGTTGCAACTGCTTGGAATTCCCACTGTCACCTAGTGCAGAGAGGCCAGTGATATTGCTGTGACCTGCAGTGCAAGACAGGCCCAGACAACAAGGAATTGCACGGCTAGGAATGCCAGCAGCGCTGAAGTTGTTAAGCCCTGTACTGACCAAAGGGAAAAGTCTCTAGTGGGGAACTCCTAAGCATCTTTCCAGGTCACTAAACTGAGGATGGCAGAGAGAAATCTTCTGGACCATCACATTGGGTTTATATACATAATGGAGCAAAAAAGGATGCTCTTTGCCATAGTAGACAGCCCTGTAGTTAGCACTAAATCTAAGAGTAAAGGGGTTCATTTTAGTGGGTGACTTGTTTTTATACTAGAAAGCATAAAAGCTGAAAAGGGAAAAGGGGAGGGAATTTCAATAAGTTAACATACCACAAATCGAAGCAATCTACCTCAAGACCCAGCACTACTGCTCTTGGGTATATACCCAAAAGACACTCAATCACACCACAAGGACATGTGCTCAACCATGTTCATAGCAGCATTATTTGTCATAGCCTGAACCTGGAAACAACCTAGATGCCTCTCAGCTGAAGAATGGATAAAGAAAATGTGGTATATTTACACAAAGGAGTATTACACAGAGGTAAAAAATAATGACATTTTGAAATTTGCAGGCAAATGGATGGATCTAGAAAAAAACATTGAAGCTGGGAGGTGGTGGCTCATGCCTTTAATCCCAGCACTCGGGAGGCAGAGGCAGGCAGATCTCTTGAGTTCGAGGCCAATCTGGTCTACAAGAGCTAGTTCCAGGACAGGCACCAAAGCTACAGAGATTCCTTCTAGTCTTCTATCTCTGGGATAAAGAGGCAGGACAAGCTGTCAATCCTAATGCCCACCCCCTGCAGACCCTGAAGGTTCACTTCTTCCCCTATAGACACTGCATAGTTTATGGCCAAACTAACCGTTGGTGGGTGGCTGGCATGGGGCAGGGAAGGCAGCCCCTTACTTAAGGGATGGTTTGGGAGCTCTGGGAGAGGCAACAGGAAGCCCTGGGAAGTGGATCTTTCTGAGACAAGGTAAAAAAAAAATGTCCCTGACATGGCAGACAAGAGTCTACTCTTCTGGAAGTCAGGAAAGCAGCCTCAGACTTGGGAAACAACTCACCTCAAACGTGGGTGGTCCTGAGGCCTTCGATCCCCCATGTACCCAGCACGGGGTAGATGTAGACAGGGGCAGGGCCTTTGTAACAAGGCAGCCTGACACACCACTCATAGAGATTCACCTGCCTCTAAGGGATGCACCACTATGCCTGGCTTAAAAATGCCTTTCAAAGACAACCAGTCTAAAAACAAAAATGGAGCCGGGCTATGGCGGAGCACGCCTTTTATCCCAGCACTTGGGAAGCAGAAGAAGGTGGATCCCTTGTGAATTCGAGGCCAGCCTGGTCTACAAAAGGCATTCCAAGACAACCAGAGCTGTTACACAAAGAAGCCTTGTCTAGAAAAAATGAAATAAAACAAAACCAATGAATAAACAAACAAACAAACAAAAATGGAAGTCAAAGAGTGATGCCTATGATATGATAAGTCACACATAGGACTTTTTAAAGTTTTTTTTCTTTTTTGGAAATACGTGCAAACTGGCAAGGTATACATATCTGTAATCATGGCACTTGAGAGGCTGAGGCAGGAGGATCATGAACTCAAGGCCAGCTTGAGTTATAAAGCAAGTTTAGGTTGGCTATACATTGAAACCCTGTCTCAATATACAACACCACAAACATGTAAGTCTAAAAGACACAGAAAGAGATGGAACGGATGAACAAGCCACAGTGGGTCCCTCTGGGCTGGGGAAGGAAAGAAATGGGACAACAGGAAGCTTTTGCTGTTTTAGGTACTTCTGCCCTGCTGGGAAACCATACCACGACAACAATGTATCCACAGTCCCAGCACTTGGAAAGCTGAGGCAGGAGCACCACTGTGAGTTCCAGGATAGCATAGGCTACAGAAGGATCCCCTGGTTTGGGAGGGAAAGTGTGTGTGTGTGTGTGTGTGTGTGTGTGTGTGTGTGTGTAATATTTGAAATGGGGCTCTGACCAAAGTATAGTCCTCAATACCTTTTTTCACAACAGGTTTGCCCTGGCCCATTCCAGATCCCTAATACTGTGGTCTCCAAGCCAAGCCACTCTTGGACTCTGTCAGGACTTGCCAGAGTCACCACGCTCTTCAGATCAGACTTTCTCACAGAGTCCTTGAGAGGAAAACTATTTGTCAGGCTGCCTTAAGCCAGTACTCAGGTTTCAGGCTCAGTTAGCAAACAGAAGGGGCAGGGAGGAGTTAGCTTCTCAGAACCTCACAGATCAAACAGCCAGGGCACCTGGGCAGCTTGCCTGTAGGACACTAGTTTAGGGGCTCGATGCAAGGAAGAATGGAGTTTCTTCTAAGGGTAGCTGGGAGTGTGGAGGGGTGGGACCAGTTCAGGGACACACAGCCAAGGACAGCCAAGGAGACAGCGCCTCACGAGCCGATGGATCCATGGGCTTTGTGTGGGAATGGCTGAGCCCCTCCTGGAGGTCTGGTTCCCTAGGAGTCTATGGCTGGTCTGTCTCAGAAGGTAAAGGGCAGGAGGCCACCTCAGACAAGAAGCTTTTTGGATTCTGCTTATCACTGCTGCTGTCTGGCTCTGAGACTTCAGAGAACTGGGTTCTTGTTTTGGAGGGTCACTTTCTTCACGAACTGAAAAATGAAGAAAGAGCCAGCCTCCCCCTTCTTACGCGAGGTTTCATGAACGTATCTCAAGCCACCTGTCCAACAGCTTAGCTAGCAGGTGGAACCCTGGTCCACAGGCTCTTGTTTTAAGGATGAGGGGAGGTGGACCCTCTTCTTTGTCTGGTAAACCCCTTGTTCTTCAAGATCCATCTGCTATGCCAGGGCATCATTTGAAATGTGTCCCTCCTCCTGCCTCCCCCAGGGTCCCCCAGCCCTTGCTTCTTATCTCTGCCCCCAGAGTCCTTATCTCACCGTAAGAACACTGCTTGTTCTGCAGACCCAGCTCTTCCCATGAGCTTCTGTGGGTGCTCAGGTCTGTGGCACAGAGAACACTTCTATCTGGTGCTGCCGGAGAGAGGGTATATGAGGGCACCAGGGAACCGGGGCTGCCTTCCACAGGGCTCAAGCTTGGCTCTCACTGGTTATCACCAGCAAACTGTGCAGAGCCTGGACCATGCGAAAGGCTCTCCTACGACTCCTCCCACCTCCTATTTTGGGGTCTGAGCATCTGAGGTTTCAAACTTGTCTGCTTACTACCTGATGCTTGCATCTCTCTCCGATTGCTGGGTTAGGTGGAGAGGGAGGTTTTGGAGAAAAACACATCCCTGGTGAAGTAGCCTCTTCTCCCTTCTAGGACAGCGTGCCCACCCTTCTTGCCCTGGATACCAGTATGGGCACAGCTCTTGCTTTCTCCCAGTGTCTGCCATCCCTGCCTGTCTCCGGGCTCTTAGTCTGTGCCCACAGAGCTCTGCCTGGCCCCCACGCCCACATTACCTCTGGTGCCCACATTCCTGCAAACCCTGTGACCACAACAGGGGACATTACACATTCCTGACCTAGCAGCCAATGGTGTCAAAAAGAACAGAATGTCCTAGGACCTGGCCCAGCCCCCTGCTTCACCTGGGCCCCTCCCAGGCCTGGACAGGGCCAGGTAGGTGGGGTGAAGAGTTCAGAGGGATGGGAAGAATACCGTAGGACCAGCAGGTACTCCCAGTTTTGGGGGACCCCTTCTCCTTTTCCTCTGGGATCCTGGCTGTGAGGCTGACCTGGGATGACCTTGAGAGACCCAAATCAGAAGAGATCTTAGTTTCTGGAAGTCCACTTAAGTTTCTTTCCCCTGGCTATCTTGCCTGACAGGAGAGTCCCTGTGGCTCCCTCCTTTTCCTCCTCCTCCATCCTCCCTCAGCTCTTTGCCCAGTCCTCCTGCCTGTCTCTCTTTCCACCTTCCTTGTTCTGGTGTCCCCACCTATACACAGTCATCCTCCTTCCGCTTCTGCCTTCCTGGCTTTTGTGTGTAGAATTCTCCCTCCCCTCTCAGGTTCTCTAAACCTCACCAGTCTCTGTCTCTGGTCTCCTTGCCAGCCAGTTCCCCCATCAATCACTGACCCGAACTCCAGCAGGTCCCCGATTCACCTGTACCCCCGGGAGAGCTCCCAGGTCAGACTCCTCCTCCGACCCTCCCCCTGCCAAGCTCACCTTTAATTGAGATGCTAATGAGGCTTCTGCGGCTCCCATCCCTGGCTGATGGGCGGGCGGGTTCCAGGGCCAGGCACTGCACCTGTCAGGTGAGAGGGTGGAGAGGCTCGGCTGCCAGATTCAACTGGAAAGGAACCAGTCACTGCCCAGCCACACCTGGGAGCTGGGATCCGGGGGCAGCTCAGGCCTCCTGCAGCCCTGCGGTTCCCGAGGCAGTGGAGGAGGTAGCAGGAGGCTGGAGGCCAGGGCTCGAGAAGAGGGCTCAGGAGGAGATAGGGAAGGCAGGGGAGGAAGTGAGGCAGGCTCAGAGAACCTGGCACAGAGAGGGAGACCCAAAGAGAAGCAGGAGGCAGCTGGGCCAAGAGGGCGTGAGAGCTGGAGCCAGTCACACAGTCAGGGAGGAAAAAGGCAAGAGGGAGAGGCTGCTAAGCCAGGCATTGTGCCTGCTGTGGAGACCCAGGAGGCGCTAGCGGGCAAGCGAAGGTGGCTGAGAGGCTCTGTGGCCAGACAAGCTCAGTGCTGCCTGGTTGGCCCCAACTCCAGAAGGTCAGCTGGCTCCTGGAAAGGTGGAGGAGGGTGGGAGGACTGGGGGAGAGTGGCCTCAGCGTGGGATGCGGGCACTGTCAGGGGCCGCCCCGTTCTGCCTTCATGCTGATGATGCTGGAACGCACCAGAGCCCCGAGCTCAACCTTGACCTAGACCCTTACCTCCCCAACTCACCTAAGGGCTCCATGGAGGGCGACAAGGGCAAGGGGCAAGACCCTTGTCCTCTTCAGTCCATGCAAGAGCTGGAGAAGGGAGACAAGCGGGAAGAGCAGGGGTTGGGCCCCGAACCCCCAGCGCCCCCACAGCCCAGCGAGGAGGAGGAGGCGCTGATCGAGTTCCACCGCTCCTACCGAGAGCTCTTCCAGTTCTTCTGCAACAACACCACCATCCACGGCGCCATCCGCCTGGTATGCTCCAAGCACAACCGCATGAAGACGGCCTTCTGGGCAGTGCTCTGGCTCTGCACCTTCGGCGTCATGTACTGGCAGTTCGCCTTGCTGTTCGAAGAGTACTTCAGCTACCCCGTCAGCCTCAACATCAACCTCAATTCAGACAAGCTGGTCTTCCCTGCCGTCACTGTCTGCACCCTTAATCCCTACAGGTCAGTCAGCCCCATGCTGTCTTCGGGGCGCCGTGGGTTTGTGTTGGGGTGGGTGTTCAGTGGTACAACATGTGCTTAGCATGCCCAAGGCCCAGAGTTCCACCCTCAGCAGCACAAAAGCAAGCCAGTCCCACAATAAATAAAAGTGGTGATGGAGGAGAGAGGCCAGCGAGCAGAGGTCCAGGTCTTGAAGGTGCTGTGGAGGTGGATAAGATCTTCGTGTAGAAGGAAGGTTTGCTGTATTGGGGAATGAGTAGGTAATGTGTGGGGTGAAGGGTAGGGGAGTGGGATGGGGAAGTCTGGTTGTCACATGTCCTCCAAGTCCCTGGCTGCCTTAGCCTCCTGCCCAGGCCTCTGACCTTTAAGGGCTTTGGTGTGTTCTGAAGTTTTGGGTTTCATCGGTGCTCTTTGCTGGGTTGGGTCTGGAAACTGGACTGTTAACCACGGGGAAGAGAGGCGGGCAGGGCTGGGCACTTGTACATACCATTTGAACTCACTGTTAAACCAGACGCGGTGCTGGGCACCGGGCGGGAAAGGCTTGGTGATAATCCAACCACCTTTATGGAGGGCCAGGTGCTGCCCTAGCTACTGGAGACAAAGCTGAAGCAGGGTGGGGGAGGCAGGAGCGTAAACAAACGCTGAGCGCTCAGTGATTAGCACTATAAAAACCGAGCCTGACTGCCTTCAAGGAGTGTGAGGTCTCTTACAAGTGTTTGAATGAGGGTGAACGGGTGTGAGCACACACATTAGGAATGCAGGCAATTATGGAAGGCTGGGATTGGTCACACGCTGCGGGTGGAGGCTCCCTCAGGTAGCCTGTCAGGCCCAGAGTTGGGTCATGGATTAACAAACGCTGGGAAGTCCTGTCCTGGAGAGGCAAAACTGCCCCCATATAATGAACACAGTAGGAGTCACTAAGCTGAACAGGACCGGCTGCTAGAAGTCCTCTATAGTCTCCTGTGTCATTCGCAAAGATGTGGGACGGGACGGTATTATCCTCGTTTTACATATAGGAAACTGAGGCCAGGAGAGACAAATCAACAGTCATCGATACTGACACAGTCCTGATTCATCCTGTTAGTTTGGTCCCCAAACCAGGCCTTGTCTTATACTCAAAAGGAGGGACTTGGAATAAGAGAAGCTTCCCATCACTTGTTCACCTTCATTTCAAGTCTTGATTGTTCCCTCCCTTAGCCTCTGTCCATCGGGCTTTCTGAGCTCTTTTCACCTTATGCCTGGCAGGGTGGGGGACAGAACAGGCAGAAAGTACTGGCAGGGGAGGGGCCAGGGCCTGGAAGTTGGTTGTAGACACTCAGTAAATATTTGTGGGCACAAAGATGAGGAGATATGGAGAAGGCCGGGGTGAGTCTTTTGAGGTCTATATATTTTCTAAGGTTCTACTGGGTGCTTGGACCTGGACAGGCCAGGAGAAAGCCCCGGGGAATGGACACACGCTACCCCAGTCTGGGGAGCAGTTGTCCATACAGAAAATATCCATCTTACTGGAAGGTGACTGACTGCAGGGGGAGGAGGGAGAGGACACACAGAAGGCAGGGAGGGTCGAGGAGAGGACTCCCAAATACAGGAGGAAACTGAAAACGTACTATGTGCCCAATTCAGTGTTGGGTGATGTTTTAAACACTTGTTCCTTAATTCCACAAAATCTAGCGAGGTGGGCATTTTTATGTGTTTCCTTTGTTGCTTTTTTTTCTATTTTTTCTAAAGACAAGATCTCAATACAGCCCAGGTTGGCCTTGAACTCCTGGGATATTAGGGCGCTTGCTACCACACCTGTGTCGTTTCCAGTTTTCGGATGAAGATGAAATCCTTAGCTCCACAGCTGCGTTAGCTGATCATGAGGGGAAATGGCAGTGACAATTCTGTCCACACAGACTTATGTCCAGATGGTTTTCCAGATGGAGCCAAACTGGGATGAAATCTTAGTAAACGGGCCAGGTATGGTAGCTTATGCCTTTGACCCCAACACTCTGGAGGCAGAGGAGGCAGATCTCTGTGAGCTACAGGCCAACCAGAGCTACATAGTGTTGTTAGCTGTCCCCAAAGACCCAGGCTGAAGATATGTAGGTGATTTCGGCTCAGCTGCCCTGTCTTCCTACCCAGGTGTCTGACCTTGAAGAAAAGAAATATTATTCAATGGCTTAATCCTCACAATAGATTTGGGAACTATATACCATTACTGCCTCCATGTTATAGATGAGGAAACAGAGTTATACTCAGACAGGAAGTGGTGAAACTGGGATGCAAAGTCGTTCCCACCTAAGAGCTAGTGCCTCTCGGGATAGCAGTCAAGTCCCAGCTCAAGTGTGACGTCAAAGCTCTCTCTCACATGACAGCAAGACTTCCCAAGGTGGGGCGGCTGGTAGGATCCCAGAAGGAAGAGCAGCAGAAAGAAGGGGACTCCCCGCTAGGAGTGCAGGGCCTGAGCAGCCTTGTGCTGGCCGACCTGAGAGTGAATAATGGCTGGTGGCTGGGATGAGGGGATGATAAGAAAAAGAAGGCAGTCACCAGAGAGAGCCTGGAGTGGAGCAGACACAGTTGGGTGTCCACCTGCTGAGGGACACAGCTGAGCAGGCAGAGGATCTAAGAAGGTGGCCCTGGCTGCTGGGCTGGGCTGGCTCTCAACTCTAGTCACTAGGAGAGTTCCAGTCACCTCCACATGCATGGGAGACAGAACCCACAAACATAAGGCACTTGGGGCTGGATCTAAGGAAGAACTGATCCAGGCCTGGTGGCACAACCCAGTGATTCTGTGATTGGGAAATAAAGACAGAAGAATCAGGAGTCCATGGTTAGGCCTGGGTACAACTTGAGTTTGAGGCTGTATCCTGTGGGGTCCTGTGCCAACAACAACAAAAGAAACCAAGGAAAAACCCGAACAGTGAAGACCATGGCCTCTCTCTCCTGGAGAGAGCAGAGCAAGGGCCTTGGCATCAAGAGTGGCCTAAGAGAGGGCCATTTCCTCAGAGAGCCACAGAAGGAGGTGGGGCTCTCAACTGCTAAGCCACCCTTGACCTACACTCTTTTCAGTCTAGACGGCAGGCTTTACTCAAGTGTCTGGCAGGGAGAGCCCAGACTGAGGCCCGGGTTGGCCAATGCTCAGGCCTTCTCTGTCTGGCACTCTGGCACTGGGGCCGGAGTGGTTCAGGGCAAGAACTCCTGCATAGGCAAAGGTGTGTGTGTATGTGTGTGTGCCTGGGTGGAGGCTCAAGTGTCACGGCACCAATTCTCTCCTTTTTACCTGGGTTTATCTGGGTGGTTTGGTTTGCCAGCAAGTCATCTCATTAGCCCCTGTCAAGCATCTTAAATAAGAAGGGCTCCAAGAACCTAAAAGTAAAAAGAAGCTAAAGCCAGCAGCTGTTGAGAGGAGTGAGAATCAGAATCTAGGTCTTTAGTATCTTTTGGGACTTTTGTTACAACCGAGAGGTCACATGGCAGGTGAGTGGCGGACATACTCCCCTGTGACGTCACTTATCTCTAATAATGAATACCCATGGTAATAAAATACCAACCGCAGCTGCATAGTCCCCACCAAGAGTGGCCCTTAGCCCTTTCCACTGCGAAGAGGGACTCTTTGCCACCTATGTGGGGCTTCTACTTCAAGGACAAGGTGAACACTCATTGTATTGCTGAGGAAAAAGTTTTATGAGTTGTTATTTTGGGAACTGGTTATCCATAAAAGATGCCTTAGGTCACTAAGGGTTAGACTCTATGTAGCCTGGGCCAGCTCATTAAAATGTGGAATTCTACACAGCATCACTCTGACAGCCTAAGGGAGACTGCAGTTAGGGTTCGTTATGGCCAACTCTTTCTAAAGAAATAATGGATCCTGTTGCCGGGAAGCAACAACAGTCCTGTTCTGAGGCCAGAAGAGCTCAGCGTACCCATCTGTCTAAGCATGGCACCCACATTCACCTTCCTGGCAGTCCTTACCCTCCACAGTTCGTGAGTTCTTAAATCACTATCGCGGGGACTGAATTCCATGTATGATCTCAGAGCTCAGAACCCACTCATGAGGGAGAAGGGCTACTTGTTGGACATCTACATGTGAATGTATTGGGGTACAAGCTGGGGCTGTGGGGTCTCTGTGTGTGCCCCCTTAGCATTGTTCAGAGCTGCTTGGGAGACCAGGGCCTGGAAAAGTGATGAGAGAAAGTCAAGACTTTCCTGGATAAAGCAGGAAGATGGGCTCTAAGCACAGGGGTACCCATCGCCAAGGAAGGAGATGGGGTTGTCTTCATTCTCAGCTCTACCAGGTATTCCAGAATGCCTACTGGGAATGCTTTAGAGGTTCCTGGGTGGGTTTTTGGGAGCCTTTTAAATATATCAGAGATGGAGGAGTAGACAAAGATGGGAAAATAGGTGGGCCAGTCTCAACCTCTTAGGATTCCTGTATCCTGCCAGCCTGTCCTTTTCAGAGAAGGAGAGTCAGAGGGGAGGCTAGCTTTAGAGAAAGGAGATGCTGATGGTCAATTTTGAACACTCCTTAGCCAGGAGTAGTGGGGAAAAAAATCAGGGACTGTGGAGTCCAACAAGCCTGGGTTTGAAGCTTAGCATCAGTATTTCCTGGATGAGTGACCCTAAGATAATTGCCTATGGATGGGCCTCGGATTCTTGAGTCATAGAATGAAGATAGTAAGGTCTGGTAGAATTGGAGTAGAGAGTTTACCCACCTCCCACAGGCGGGTTGCCTGACAGACAGACAGACAGACAGGAGTGAGGGCAATAAGCATGGCCCAGGAAGGAAGTCAAGGCCACATGGGGTAGATCACCTCGAGAACATCCCATCAGAAGTGTCTTGACTCCTTTGTCTAGCCCCGGTCTCAGGACAAGACCTGAGGGCTTACTGTGCTTTGACTAGCGCCAGTCCAAAGCTCAGAATCCTGTCACACAAACGTCTCGTGACAAGACGTTAGGAAGGTGACACAGGAATGCTATGGAGAGGAGTGTCCTTGGGGAGGGAGAGATTCCTACATGGAACTGGACACGGGTGCAGGATCAAGGGTTGGGAGACCAGACTGCTGGGGTGTGTATTCATAGGCACCCAGTCCGGAAGAGGCCAGAGGAAGCCGACTGATATGGGCTCAGTGGGGAAGAGTCTGGTGAAGACAGAGAAGTGGTAACGTACTGATGAGGAAGAGGGAGATGAAGGTGGTGACCTGTATCACAGAAATAATCCCAGCAGAGCTGGGGACCTGGATTCTTCCTGTATGACACTTCCCTGGGCGTCAGGCTCCTGCTTGTTTTTTCCTCAGGTCTGGCCATCTTCACTTTGTGTCCCTGAGTATTCCCTCATTTCATCTTTCCAGAATTTTCTGTGGCAGTGCTGTATCCATTCTACAGACGGGCAGCCAAGGCTGGGAATCAGAGAAGTCAGATTCCTTACCCAGCATTCTATAGCTGGGACACCAGTGTGCCCTTCCAGCAGGGGGCAGTGTGTGTGTGTGTGTGTGTGTGTGTGTGTGTGTGTGTGTGTGTGCTCTAGTGCTCTTTATGGGACAGAATAGAGGACACCCATGTCTGGGGCACACTCTGACTCATGTCTTGGCCATTTTATCTTGGAAAAGGGCATCACGATGGTATTAGCCCAGATCATTGTGCAGTATATGTAATGATTGTGCCTGGCTCCTCAAAAGTGCTCATACGAGCGGGCACGGCCATTCTTAAAATCTTCAATGCCATTTCAGTCTCTCGGAAGGCCTTGGACACACACCTTAGGTCTGAGCTCTGTTTTCTCCTGAGAAGGGATATGGGGCTGGGTACAAAAAGGGGGATGATTAGGGTCCAGCCAGCTGGACTTTCTGGATGAAAACAGAGCCCAAAGGAGAGGACTGGGAGGCTTTAAACTGAACAGTGGTACATTAGGACCATGGATGAGCTTTGAACAGCCTTGGGCTGCAGGTGTGGCTCAGTGGTGGTGGGCAGAGGCAGTGCCCAGCATTTATGAGGTCCTGGGTTTGATCCCGAGCACCACAAAACAAACAAAACAAAGCGGTATTTGTGTATGATCCCGCATCTCTGGCAGTAGTAGGTCATTTCACTAGTGCAGGAAGTTTGTTTCCTTTCTTTTCTTTTTAGAGACACAGTTTCTCTTCTCACAGCCCTGGCTGTCCTGGCACTCACTCTGTAGACCAGGCTGGCCTCAAGCTCAAAGCTCCTCCTGCCTTTGTTTCCTGAGTGCTGGATTAAAAGAGTGTACCTCCACACTTGATTCTTGAAGTTTTCTTTAAGTGACATTTAATAGTCAAGATATTGGACATTTCCAGTCAATTCCTCTTTTACATATATTAATATATTATATATGTTGTTTTTTGAGACAAGGTCTTACTATGTAGGCCTGGCTGACCTGGAAATCACCATGTACATCAGGTTGACCTAGAACTCGGAGATCTGCCTGCCGCTATCTTCCCAACATTGGGATTAAAGATGTATGCCACCATGCCTGGCACAGTAAATATTTTAAAATTATTACTATTACTATATTTTAAGTGTATAGGTGTTTTTCTTGAATGTATGTCTTGGCACCATGATCATGCAGTGCCCATGGAGACTAAAAGAGGATGAACAGCCTAGACTGGAGTTAAAGATGGTTGTGAGCTACCATGTGGGTACTGAGAATTGAACCCAGGTCCTCTGGAAGAGCAGCCAGTGCTTTTACCCTCTTGAGACATTTCTCCAGCCCCGTTTACAGTAAATATTAATCTCAGGTAGTGTAAATCCTCCAGCTTTTTTCTTTTCCACAGTTGTTTTGGCCACAGCAGGTTCTTTGCAAACCGGCACTGTCGTTGCATGTACCTGTAAGCTCAGCTGCTCGTGAGGCTAAGGCAGGAGGATTCCAAATTGGAGGTCAGCCTGAGCTGGCTCTGCGTTTTCATAGACCTTCGAACCGCCTTCCACTTACTTTTAAAATGTTTGCTGAATCTGGGGTCTGGATTGTATGGAATCTGAAGATCAAGTTGGGAGACCCGGTGACATCTAGTGCATGGCCAGCTGTGTGATTCCTTATGTTTGGACTCTTGGTCTTTAGCAGGGTTTCAGTGTGCTCTGCAGTGGAAGAAACCTAGCTTATCTTTTTTTTTTAAAAATAAGATTTACTCCTAAGTTTATCAGATTTATTCAAAATTCTATTTTTAAAAATATGTTTTTATTTATGTGTATATGCACATGTCTGTGCATGTATGCCACATGTATGAATGTGGTTGGGGGCCAGAAGAGGGAGTCAGATCTCCCTGGAACTCCAGTTACAGGGGTTGTGAGCGCTCAATTGTGGGTGCTGAGAACTGAACTCAGGTTCTGGAAGCACATGAGTATCCTTAATTGCAGAGCCAGTCTCCAGCCCCAGCGTGCTGTTTTCATTTTCTGTTTCTTTCTTGCTATTTAAAAATACAATCAATATTTGTGTATTGATTTTGCATCCTGCAGCCTGGTTTAATTTACCATCTGTGTTTTGTTTTGTAGACTGTCATTCTCAGGCCAGCCATGTTGATGTCCACCGTACAGATAATAAGATGGCCAGTACTGGGAATGAGGAATGTAGGGATTTATATGGGACAGTGTTTGGGTCCGTTCCAAATCTCATTAAAGCGAAGCCTCTGGAGAAGGGAAGGGTGGCACTACAACTGGTATTTTTACAGCAGTTCAGGGAGATTCTGAAAGTGCATTTGCTGAGAAGTCTGGATTTGAAGACACAGTTGACAGGCACTTCCAAAGGCCACCCTCCCCAAAGGGGATGGGGCAGGATGACCTGAGCTGCCAGGCTAAAGAAGTGAAGAGCCCCCACCCATCCGGGGCAAACAGACAAGTCCTGGCCTAGGCTTCCACTGCGAACACATCTGTTTATACACTTACTCCCAGTCAGTTCTCGAGCCATCAGAGCGATCACTGATTCCCTCCGCTTATGGAGAAAACCATTGCCCAGCGGGCGGGCCACCCCTAGACCGACCTCCTCCCCATTGGCCATTTCAGATACACTGAAATTAAAGAGGAGCTGGAAGAACTGGACCGCATCACGGAACAGACGCTCTTTGAACTATACAAGTACAACTACTCCTACACTGTCAAGGCTGGGGCCCGCCATCGCAGCACCCGCAACCTCAGGAGTGCTCTTCCGTACCCCTTGCAGCGACTCTACGCACCGCCTCCGCCCAACCCAGCCCGCTCGGCACGCAGCTCGTCTTCCAGTGTGCGCGACAACAACCCCCAAGTGGACAGGAAGGACTGGAAGATCGGCTTCCAACTGGTAAGCCCCGCCCCTCGGTCCCGGGCCCGCCCACGCGCTCACCCGTCCAATGGCCCCGCCCACTCTGTCAGATCGAGAGTAATACAAATGGATGGATGGATGGATGAATGGATGGACGCAAAAAACGAACGCTACAGCCACCTGTGCCACTTTGCTGGCAGCTTATGTGGCAAGGGATAAGTGGCAGGAAGTAAAGTCTGTTGCAGAAAACATACATTTCTAAATTCTAGTCCTTATTGATGGGACTCATTTGAGACCCTCTGGTGACAGAACGGAGAACTGAGGTTCTGCTAGCCTGTAACAGAGAGCAAGTAAATTAGACCCCTTAGTAAAATGAGATGTGTGTGTGTGTGTGTGTGTGTGTGTGGTGTAACCCAGGTCCTTGCCTGTATTTAGCAAGGGCTCTTCCCCTGAGCTACATCCCCAGACCCTAAACTTGTAGACTAAAGGAGGAAAGGGGAGAGGGTCAGCGGGTGAAGGAGAAGGGAGGCCTTGGAGCGATGGGCCAGACCACCAGCATATAGGAGGTCTAGACCATCTCTATTGTGGAAACGAACCTTTTGATTCCCCAGTATTCACACCAGTGAGAGGGGAGAATTCTTGCTTCTCTTCCTGCCTGGTTGTGTAAAGAAGCTGCAGCGAGACACTGCCTACCACTGCCTGGGTCTTGTGTTCCTCTGGTCAACTCTCCTAGGGGCCACTGTGTTTCTCCCCTTCTGTTCTATCTACCCCCTGTTCCCTAGACCTGCTCATCAGCCCTCGGGACACCTCGCCTCTCTCTATCTTTGACCTTGGTGGCTCCCTCATGGGCACTGACATTCTGATCTCTGTGTGCAGTGCAACCAGAACAAATCAGACTGCTTCTACCAGACGTACTCATCCGGGGTGGACGCAGTGAGGGAGTGGTACCGCTTCCATTACATCAACATTCTGTCCAGACTGCCCGACACCTTGCCATCCCTAGAGGAAGAAGCCTTGGGCAACTTCATCTTCACTTGCCGCTTCAACCAGGCCCCCTGCGACCAGGCGTGAGTAAACCCTGGTGGTTCCGTTCTTCCTGCGTCCTCCTGAGGGCTCAGGAAATGCTTGTTGGCTAGGTGAGGGAAGATACGAGATGGGCAACGCACAAGCCCTAGCCAGAGGCCCGAGTCTATGCCCAGCAGGTCCCCTGTAGACAGCAGTGTGCTGAGCTCTGTGGGCTGAAGGTCTCCTGGGTCCCCTCTGTGCTTCTGTCTCTCGGCCTGGTGACTCATTTCACACCATTCTTCAGAGCCTTCTCTTTGGAAAAAGAAACAAATCAAAACATAAGAAAGGAGGTTTAGTCAATAAATGTTTCTGTGTGGCCACGTGCCATACTCTGTTGTAGGCATGTGGGGTATAGTACAGGGGAAGAAATATACATGTATATACACACATACACACATACACACATACCTACCTACCTACCTACCTACCTACAATCCTTGCCCTCTTGGCATTTTTACTCAAGTGATGTGAAGACAATGACGCTAATACCTATTTTAAGAGTGGCATCCAGTGCGTGAGATGGCAGATGTGAGGGCCCTTTATATGCTCCAGGGCATGCTGGGGTCAGCCCTCTTGCACCTAAACAGGAGAAGCGACATGTCCAGAGGCACAGGCTTTCCTAAGGATTTCCACATCCCACTGTCCCTCAGGCATGTCTGTTAGGACCCCTGTCAGAGTGTCCTTCCAAAGAGGTCACGGTCAGTTATCCAGCTCTCTGAGAGCTGGCAGGAGGTGGAAGTAAGGGGGCTTCTTTCTGTTGCCTCTGGCCTCCTACTCCTGCTTCACCTCTGTTCCTTGGTGTTTCAAGGGCTAGCTCCTGCGTGGCTGAGGAAGGGCGCTGAAGCAATAGCTGTACCCTGCAGGGGGGCCCTTCCCTCCTGTGTCACCAGAGCGGCAGCAGGGCCAGGTGTCACCTGCCCCATGCGCGCTCACGTGCGTCCGTACCTGTCTGTACTTTCTGTTTGTCTAAGGATGAAAGTCAGCAGCTGGGGAGTGAGGCCGCTAAGCCTGGGCCAGCCGCACCTGCCACCAAGCCTCCCTGGCGCCTTCCATCTGGAGTTTTTGTCCCTGTCCTCTGCCTTTGTCCACTCCAAGCTCTTGCCTCCCTTCCCAGCGAGCCCACAGTTCATCTTTGTTTTGGCACGCAGGTTCCTTCCTCAGCTTAGAGCCCTATCCTTTCTCAGCAGGATTGTTGAAACAACCCTGCAAGCTGTCTGACCTTCTGCCTCCACATCCTCCTCCCTTCGTTCTTCCCAGGAAGTCTTTGTCCCTTTCTCTTGCCGAAACAGAATACTACAGACTGGGTGATTTGCGAAGAAAGACGTTCATCCATTTCTTACAGTACTAGAGGGTGGGAAGTCCAAGAGCCTGGTGCCGGAACCTGACTGGGGCTCCCACAGCATGACAGAGCTAAAGAGGAAGGGAAAGTGAGCATGTGAAAGAGAAAGCAGGAAGGGACCTGACTAAAAACTAGCCCAGTCTTACAATAGCTAACCCTCCCTTGAACTCGTGGTAATGCCACCGATCCATTCATGAGAATTCACCCCGTGACCCTATCTCTTCCTATTGGATCCCATCTCCAACACATTGGGAAGTCATTTCCCAAGACAGGAATGGAGACACACCTTTGAATCATAGCAGGGAGCTTGACTTTGTTATATTAACTATTAGAGTCAGTCCTGTTCAGAATCCTCTGAAGAAGGGGCTGGAGAGATGGCTCAGCAGTTAAGAGCACTGGCTGCTTTTGCAGAGGACCTGGGCTCTGTTTTTAGCACTCACATGCAGCTCACAGCTGTCCAGAACTCCGGTTCCATGGGATTCGGCACCCTCTTCTGGTCTCCACAGATACCAGGCGTGCATATGGTATACAGATATACCTACAAGCAAGCAAAGCATTTATATACATACCATCAATACAATATATAGTTCCTGTGGCCTTGCGAATCTAACTGAACTTCCTTAGCATGGCCTTCTGGACCCTTCTCTTCTTCTTCTTCCTCTCTTTTGTTTTCCTATTTTTCTTCTGGTTTTGTTGTTGTTGTTCTGAAGATTGAACCCAGGGCCCTCACAACATGCAGGCAAGCACTCAGTATCACTGAGCTACATCCTCAGACACAATCTTTTCCTTCATGGCATGTAGTAAGAGTCTTTCTTTTCATACGTACAGTTTAGTGGTTTTAAAATATCTTTAGAGGGGGCTGGAGAGATGGCTCAGCGGTTAAGAACACTGTCTGCTCTTCCAAAGGTCCTGAGTTCAATTCCCAGCAACCACATGGTGGCTCACAACCATCTGTAATGAGGTCTGGTGCCCTCTTCAGGCCTGCAGGCACACACACAGAATATTGTATACATAATAAATAAATCTTTAAAAAAAATATCTTTAGAGTTATGCAAACATTGCCACTGTCTAATTTTAGGGCATTTTTCCCACCCACCACCAAGAAACCCGTTTACCCATTAGCATTTCCCCATTCCATCTAAGTCAAGCCCCGGGAGCCACTAATCTGCTTCCTGTCTCCATGGGCTGCTCTTTGTGGGCATTTCACACAAGGGACAGGGATGTAGCTCAGTGGTAGATTGATAGCATGTGTCAGAATTCATGTATGAGCAAATAATGCCGTGTTGTATAGACATAGCACAGCCCTGTGATATGGGACACACCTGCTCTTTGGCCCTTATGAATGACACTGACCTGTATGTGCCTGAGTGAGGTTGCACACTGATAGTGTTTTAGTTTCCCTTGGGTGCACGTAGGAGTGGTGTCCTGGGTCCCATCACTGTTTCACCCTCAGAGGCACTGCTGGACTTGTGTGCAGGGACACACTTCTTTATCAGCAATCCCGAGGGATCTAAATTCCCCACGCCTGCCACCTGTTATTGTCTATCTTAAAAAACAAACAACAACAAATTGCCTTTAGTTATTCATATATGTGCATGTGTGTGGGCAGAGGACAATTTCAGGGAGTTGGCTTTCTCAACCTTAGGACGACAAGCTTGGCAGCAAGCACCTTGCCACCTGAGCCATCTTGCCAGCCCTTGTTCTCTTTTGTACTTTAGGCAATTTGATGAATCTCTGGCACCTTAATGGGAAGCTAATACAGTTCTTACTAAGTATTAAGACTTTAACTTAGCCCTAAGTAACCCCCTTTTTTTGAGCCTTTTTTGTCTTTTTCTTTTTTTCTTTCTTTTTTGGACAAGGTCTCAGTCTTCTCCCAGGCGGATCTGGACCTCACTTTGCAGCTTGTAGCCCCAGCGAGCCTCATGCTAGCACTGGGATTACAGGAGCGTACTGCCACAGCTGGATGGGGCTTTGTTCTTTAAGATTGGTTTATTGCATTTGTGTGTGTAAGGAAGAGACTGTCCGTGGGAAATATGGCTAGCTCAGGGCCACATGACCAAAGCCACACTTACCTCTGGTCAGTGTCCTCTCTTACTTCTCTACTGGTCGCAGGCCAGAGCCTCATTTTCCTCTTGTCCTGTTCCCACAGCTATGTCCAGATAGCAGGACGTAGAACACAGGTCCGCTCTCCCCACGTAGCTCTTGGAACCTGTAATATGCTGTCAGTCTGTGTTTCTACTGTGGCAGCGGGGCCTGTGTGCTTTTCTTCTTGTTTCCCAGGCCTGTTTTAGACCATCCTTGGACCCAGTAATCTGAGATGTGCAGGTGCACTGAAGCCTCTGGAAAACATGGCTTCCTTTCCTCCCTGTGTTCTAAACGTCTTCCCTCTGCTCCGCGCTCGCTGTGGGCTCACCCCCTCCTCAAATGCTGTGTTCCTCCACCTCTCCATTTCCCTCATGAACGCACTCAGTAACTACGCATCAGTGAACTCCCGTGTTGTCTGTATGCCAGCAACCACGTATCTGACCCCAGAATAAGACAAAAATGAAGAGGCGTGGTTCCTGCCCTCACGGATGTCACAACCCGAAGGGAGAACCAAGATTTAGATGCCGAGAAGTTAAGAGCACTGTAGATGTCTTAATATAACACAGGAGGACACAAGGAACCAAGAAGTAAGATCAGAGGAGGAGAAGCTGGGCTCTCAAGGAGATGCCCAGGCCCATCCTCACTGTGCAGCCTTGGGATCCCCACCAGCTTGGAGGGAATGTGGGGGTTCACTCCATGTAACAGGTAGAACCAGTGGATCTAATGGGGCGTCATGTGCGGATCTTAAACACAAAGCTTAGGAGACTTTTGTTTTGCTTTTTAGAAAAAGATAAAATAAGATCTATAATACACAAGATCACCTATGTAAGTCCCGGGTCAGCCATCCTGTTGGTGTGGCCTGTCTTGTGTGATGTATTTGAGGCTGTTGGCCAGAGTGACCGAGGGAGCCATGAGTTGTGTCCCAGAGTTGTGTGGACACACAGAAGGTGGCAGGAAACAGGTGCTCCTGAAAGTCTGGGGGGGCGGGATATTTTTCTCCCTCACCTCATGCTCCGCTCACCCCGTCTACTCCCTCTCTAATCCTGTTGTCCTTACTCTCTTGCCATCAGGAATTACTCTCACTTCCACCACCCCATGTACGGGAACTGCTACACTTTCAACAACAAGAACAACTCCAATCTCTGGATGTCCTCCATGCCTGGAGTCAACAATGGTGAGCAGCTCCTGTCCCCCACGTTGCCCTTCAGGCCAACCTGCCCCATTCATGTTTACTCTCCCTGGGCTTATGATCTAGAGATGCTGGGTACCTTCTGGGTCCCCCCTTGATATGCCCCTTGCTATTCTGGAACGGTCTGAATGTTCTTTCTCCCAAAGGACAAAGCCGCTACCACCCCCCACCCCAAGGCCATTCTACTCATGGAAAAAATTCTGTGCTTTAAGCCTGGCCCAGGATCCAGCTCTGGGTTCCCAAGTCTACCTGAGGGGCTTACTTACAGGCCTTGTTCCACCAGGAGATGTAGGGCTCTGCAAGGGTGAGAGGTGGGTCTCCATCCCCAACTCTTCTCCTCCTGCATCCTCAGGTCTGTCTCTGACACTGCGCACAGAGCAGAACGACTTCATCCCCCTGCTGTCCACAGTGACGGGGGCCAGGGTGATGGTGCACGGGCAGGATGAGCCTGCCTTTATGGATGACGGTGGCTTCAACGTGCGGCCTGGTGTGGAGACCTCCATCAGCATGAGGAAGGCAAGGATGCTCTGACTGGGAACCTGGGAGGAGGGCCCCACTGGCAGGAGGAAGATGGGAACTGAGAGGTGGACTTGGTAGCCAGGAGACTGAAGGGGGGGGTCACGTGAGTAGTTTCACGATGTGGAGGTCTTCGGGAGCGGAACTGGATGGAGGGGCTAAGCAAGGGGGCCTGGGAAACAAGGCTTTGAGGAGACCCCCATTGCTAAGGAGGGCTCAAGACATCCTTAGAATTCCAGAGGATGCTTTGGACCCATGCACGGGCTAGAAAATAGTACCAAAAGGGGTGTTTGGGGGTGTCGGGGCATGCTTTGAGATGGGAAGGCTGACGGGTTGCTGGCAAGGTGTGAGTTAGTAGTTGGGATTGAGGGAAGACTGAAAAGCCAGGGCTGTGCCCCCTCACCAGTGCTCTCTTGACATCCACGGGTTCACAGGAAGCCCTGGACAGCCTTGGAGGTAACTATGGTGACTGTACCGAGAATGGCAGCGATGTCCCTGTCAAGAACCTTTACCCTTCCAAGTACACGCAGCAGGTACACAGAGCGTGCTGCAGCCATTGGGGGCTGCACAGTGGTCAGCGGGGTGGAGGGATGGAGTAGCAGAAAGGGCCCTGGTGGAGCAGTGGTTCAAAGGGCTCAGCCTTCCTGCACTTGGGGCAGGGTGAGGTTGGGCCAGGCCTGAAGCCTCTTGCCCCTCCCCTCCCTTCCAGGTCTGCATCCACTCCTGCTTTCAGGAGAACATGATCAAGGAGTGCGGCTGTGCCTACATCTTCTACCCGAAGCCCAAGGATGTAGAGTTCTGTGACTACCGGAAGCAGAGCTCTTGGGGTGAGCCGGGGAGCCCCTGCCCTGTCCGCTGCTCACCTCCAGTTCCCTATGTGCCTGGCTCCTGGAGCCCTTGTCTGGGATGACTCCCTCCCACCTGCCCGCGTCTCTGCTTTTCTGCCCTGAGTCTCTGCCTGTTTGCCACCTCCTTCCTTCCTGCCATGGGCTTTTGTGCCTGTGTGAAGGGATTGTCCTTTTTAAAAAAATACCCTGCAGCAGAAGGAAGGAAGTGTGTGTGCCTATGAGCTCTCTGGCAGCTACCTCGGTGTGCCTACTCATTCTTGGGATGCTCAACAGGGGTGGGGGGGTTAGGTAGAGCACCCAACAACTCCCTGGGGCCCAGGAAGAAATTATTAGGAGTCCTGTGTTTCCATCTCATCTCTTGGTGCTTTAGAAACTATGTATTCTATCCTTTCAGCATTCCAGTGATGCAATTTGTGAGTTTTTTTTTTAAATTAATCTTCCTTTCTTTTTCCTCCCTCTCTCCCTCCTTCCTTCATTTCCTCTTTCCTTGTTCCTTCCTCCCTGCACACCTGTGTGTGTGTATAGGGGGGCGGTGCTCACAGATTCAACTCCGAGCAGGCACAGGGCCTTTGCCCACTGAGCCACCTCTCCCCCAGGCGCGTAATTTATAAATCAAATGCACATTTCTTTGTTAGAGAATGTTTTTACCTGGAGCAGGGCACAACCAAACAAGTTGGAGAGCCCTGGCATGTCCTGCTTATCCGGCCATTGTTTCGGACACACCCTTTTCCTTTCCACTGTGGCAGAGCTAGGCTAGAATGCAGGGAAAAAGATGTCCTACCAGGACACCATGGATGGCAGGAGATCCTCATGTTCCTGATCTGTGTGCTCTCATCTGCACAGATACTTGTACTTCAGACCCCTCCTCCAGGGCCCCTTTAACCTCTTCACCCAGGGGCCCCTTAGCCCCTCCCAGGGGCCCCTCTAAACCCCTCCTCCCAGGGGCCCCTCTAACCTCCTCCTCCCAGGGGCCCCTCTAACCTCCTCCTCCCAGGGGCCCCTCTAACCCCTCCTCCCAGGGGCCCCTCTAACCCCTCCTCCCAGGGGCCCCTCTAACCATCATCCCAGCTTTACATACCCAGCTCTCTAGCAGGGTGAGAAAGGGAGGAAGTTGGCCACAGCCATTGCTGGAGGGGACAAGGCAGTAGCAGCCGTGGGCACGTGGAGGGCTCTCGAGTTGTTCCACCTAGGTCCTAGTCCCACCTGCCTGCTTTCTTGCCTTGGACTGCTTCTGACAGGACTTTTCCTGTCACTTCTCTTGTTAGGGTAGTTTCCTGCTCCTGCCCCTTGCCCCCAGCTTTCTGACCCCAGTTTCCTGCCCCCTTGCCCCACCCCCACCCCTGCCTCTTGCTCCCAGCCTCCTGCTCCTTGCCCCTTGCTTCCAGTCTCTGCCCCCACAATCTTGGAGGGAACTCAGAGGCTACTTGGTATCAGCTTCTTTCTCAGCAGGCAGAAACCTGGAGAGCAGAGAGGATCCGAGTCCCAGATGAACAGGGCGGTGGGTGGCCGACTTGGTAGGCCCTCTTTTATTTCCCTCCCTGCTTTCCAGCAATTCTTTCCAAGTTCTTTGTCTTGTTTTTGTTGAGACGGGGTTTCTACGTAGCCCTGGCTATCTTAGAACTCACTGGGTAGACCAGGCTGGCCTTGAACTCACAGTTGCTTCTCTCTGGGATTTGGTGCTAGGATTAAAGGCATATGCCGCCCCCACCAGCCTATGTTCATTTATTTATTTATTTATTTATTTATTTATTTATTTATTTATTTATTTACTAAGATACATAGCTCGGCTGTCTTGGAACTCACTATAGACCAGGCTGGCCTTGAACTCAGAGATCTGCCTGCCTCTCCCTTCTAATGCTGGGATTAAAAGTATGCTCCACCACTGTCTGTCTCAATAATTCTTTTAAGTTTTAAAATGCTTGGAGCTCCTCAATCCCATTGGAGGGCCCCATGTCCCATCTTCTCCTCTTTTTCATTTTGTTTTACTGAGGTAATTTGCGTCTTAGAGTTTACTCACTCAAACTATAGGGTTTTAGTTAAATATAGTTGCCGTTTTTTGTGTTGGGCTTTAATTCTGGTCCCATGATCACCACCAAGTCTAGAGTTCTTAAAATCATTCCCAAAGAAACTTTGTACCTATGAGTAGTCCCCCAAGCTGCCCAGCCCCCAGTGCCAGCTGCTGAGAAGTCACTAGCCCAGGTGTTGAACATTTCATGTCGATGGAGTCATGAGCATCTGACCTTTGCCCCAGCTTCTTTCATGTAACATGCTTCCAGGGTCCAACCATGCTAACACGCATTGTGACAGAGTAGTTTCCTGTTGCAGTTATAAAACTTTTGTTTGTTGAGACAGAATCTCATCCTGTAGCCCAGGCTGGCTTCAGCTTTACAGCAATCCTCCTGCCTGAGGCTCACAAGTGCCGGGATGACCGGTGTGGACCACTGTTCCCAGCTGGTTGTACATCTTGTTTATCCACGTAGCCAGTCGACGGATATTTCAGTTGTTTCCTATTTGGGGCTTTGTGACTAATGCTGCCGTGAACATCTGTGTCCATGTCCTCGTGTGGGCTTACGTTCCCAGCTCTCTCCTTCCGCACCTAGGAGAGCAGCTGTGCTCATGTTAGTTGTTTAGCCTTCCTGAGGGACTGCCGTACTTTTGGAGGTGGCTGCACCATCTCATATTCCCAGCAGGAGTAGATGATTGTCCCAGTGGTCCTTGCTGGCAGTTTTGTTTAGAACCACTTTCCTAAGGAGTGTAAAATTGCATCTCATTGTGGCTTACCCCTTTTTTTATGCAGTCATTGTGCCCATTTTCTCTGACTTTAACGTGTGTGCCTTTTTTTAAAAAATATTTATATATTTTTATTTATTTATTTATCTATTTATTTATTTATTATGTATACAATATTCTGTCTTTGTGTATGCCTGAAGGCCAGAAGGGGGCGCCAGACCTCTTTACAGATGGTTGTGAGCCACCATGTGGTTGCTGGGAATTGAACTCAGGACCTTTGGAAGAGCAGGCAATGCTCTTAACCACTGAGCCATCTCTCCAGCCCACGTGTGTGCCTTTTGAACACATATTTCTGTGGCTGTCCCCTGTCCCCAGCTTAGCTTAATTTCATAAACAGTTTTGTGTGGTCGCCGCTCCTGAGGCGCCCTTGAAATGCTCTTGTTGAAAAGTGGGTGCCCAGACGGTGTGGAAGGCTCTCTGTGTGGAGAAGGCGGAGATGCCCTCAGAAAACAGGCCCTTCTTTGCACCCACAGGCTACTGCTACTATAAGCTGCAGGGCGCCTTCTCCTTGGACAGCCTGGGCTGTTTCTCCAAGTGTCGGAAGCCATGCAGGTAAGAGTCCTTCCCCAGTGTGGGCTGGGCAGAGACTACTTGGCTGGGTAGGATAGAGGTAGCAAACAGAACCCCACTCCTTCACTGAGCACTTCAATCTGTTCGCAGTGTGACCAATTACAAGCTCTCTGCTGGCTACTCACGATGGCCGTCCGTGAAGTCCCAGGTAAAGTGGGGAGAGGAGGGATGGATGCGCATATGAACATAGTTGCACACACGTGCAAATGTGCATGTATAACATAGTGGACCTCTGAGAATTATACATACTGTTATATATGAGTGATGCCATCCATCCCTGAAAACCTGAGGGGTACAGGGGTATACATCCCTGAACACATGAGGGGTACAGGGTGACCTCCTTGCCATCTCCACCCCTATTTTCCCCCCCAGGATTGGATCTTCCAGATGCTGTCCTTGCAGAACAATTACACGATCAACAACAAAAGGTCAGGCCTGCTCCAGAGCTCCTGGGCAGGATCCTTGGGGAGGAAAGGGGGTTCTCATGGGGGAATTGGGAAGAGGGCCTTTGGAATTAACTCTCCAGCATTTCTTCCTGCTCTCTTCCCCTTCCCAAAGAAATGGAGTTGCTAAACTCAACATCTACTTCAAGGAACTGAACTATAAAACGAATTCGGAGTCTCCCTCTGTCACGGTAGGGCCTGCCTTAGTTAGGGAGCCTGGATCTCCTGGGGGTTTGGCAGGGTAGCTCTGAGGGAGGAAGAGGGGTTGCCTTTGTGGGGTCAGAAGGGTTTGTCGGAGAGGTAGAAGATAAGGAAAAGGAAGTTGAGTCTAGGATAAGGTGAGGTCATCAGAGAGAGGCATCTGGGGTGTGAGGTCTGGTAGTGGGAAGCACGCACGTGTGACAGACAGCTGGGAAAAGGCCCCTGAGATGCACCCCAGTTTCTGCAGGGCTCATGACCATTTTTTCTGTGGGGAATGATAAGCAGGAGCTGCCCCTGCACGGTGGGGAGACCCATTTGGCCCCCCGGGTGCACAGGTTGCTGGCTTGGTAAGGATGCAGGTGCTTCTTTCTCTCGGCAGATGGTCAGCCTCCTGTCCAACCTGGGCAGCCAGTGGAGCCTGTGGTTTGGCTCCTCTGTGCTGTCTGTGGTGGAGATGGCGGAGCTCATCTTCGACCTCCTGGTCATCACAGTCCTAATGCTGCTGCACAGGTTTCGAAGTCGGTACTGGTCTCCAGGACGAGGGGCCAGGGGGGCCAGGGAAGTGGCCTCCACCCCAGCTTCCTCCTTCCCCTCCCGTTTCTGTCCCCACCCTACATCTCCACTGCCTTCTTTGCCCCAGCAGGGCACAACCCCTTCCCTGGCCCTGACGGCCCCACCGCCTGCATATGCCACCCTAGGCCCCCGTGCCCATCCACTGGACTCCGCAGTGCCTGGCCCTTCTGCCTGCGCTCCGGGGGAGCCCTGAGAGAGCAGAATGCTTCTCTCACCCAGGCCAGTGCTCCTGGGGAAACTGAAGAATAGCTCCTCTTCAGTGGCACTGTCCACAGCTGCCCGACTGTCTTTGGTGTGCCTGAGGGAGTGGGCTAAGTAAGGGGCCCAGGAAGCTGTCCAGAGAAGGGCTAATGAGCTCCTCTGAGCTGCCGGGCTCCTTTTTCTGAACACTGCTTTCCGCACAAGCTCAGACAAGTCTCCTTTTCCCTTGGATCAGCCAAGCCAGACTTGGAGCTTTGACAAGGAACTTTCCTGGGAAACGACCAAGGAACAAATATAAACAAGGCGCAGAAAAGCAGCCACAGGTTTCCTACCCCATGACCAGAGATTGGCCCGGCCTCACCGCCTTCAGAGACACAGATGTCTGCTCCCCCTCTTGAACTTGGGTGGGGAACCCCACCCAAAAGCCCCCTTTGTTAGTTCTTTGGCAATTCCCCTTTCCCGACTCCCCACTGGGGGCTAGAGTAAGACGCGTGTAGTAAAGGTTTGACCATTCGCCTTCATTTCCAAGACTCTTGTCTCGTTCGATGCACCGTACCCCAGGGCCTCTGCACTGGGCCTTTCATACTTGTTTGTCTTAGTTATTTTCTCTGCCTTGACGCTTCCTCTACCATCTCCGAGAGAACTTCTATGCATCCCTTAGGCCCCTGTGCAAAGACACCATTTCTTTTGTGACCTCTTGCTTTATCCTGTCTCTGCCAGGATTATCCCCACTCCCTTTGCTCCATAGTGTACTCTATTATGTGTATCTGCCTCCCTGAATAGACCGTGAACTCCTTGTGGCCAGGGTCGAGTTTTGCTCATTTTTGTATCCTTGAGGTCAAGCCCAGTATCCCACTTGGAGCAGGCAGACAGGTACCCAATAAATACTTGTTATATAAAACAATGTCTGCAGAGCCGGATGGGGCCCCATGAAATGGGCAAGGAGCTAATGCAAGCCCCAGAGGCACTGTCTAGCTTTTGGGAGGCCCTAGAGTGGAGGGGAGGGCACAGAGAGCCATGCCAAACTTGTCATTGCTCCACGTCATCAAGAAGGCTCTCCTTCAGTCTCCACCCATCTGTGATGTAACCTCTGCCACCCTCCTCCCCATCACTGCCCTGGTGGTACCAGACTCCACCCAGCTGTGATGTAACCTCTGCCACCCTCCTCCCCATCACTGCCCTGGTGGTGGAGGAGGATGAGACCAGGACCAGTTCTTCCAGAATTTCAGAGCCTTGGGTAGTCTTCTTTATTCATAGTGAGAGGGGTAGAGGGAACCCTCCTGGCTTCAGTAAAGAGAAACTGGGGAATGTCTGAGTGGAACCCCACTTTTCTCATCTGCAGTTCCTCTGCCCATCCAATCATCAGAGCTGAGAACCAAAAGCGACCCTGTCTTGTTGCGTTGTGGAATAAGATTTGGAATTGGTTCCTATTTTTCCATTCATCACGATTTCTATCCTTAGGAGCCAGAGGAGAAGGGGGGGGGTCTTTTTTCCCCACCTTCAGGGAACCCACTCTGTGGACCAGGCTGGCCTTGAACTCACAGAGATCCACTTGCCTCTGAGTGCTGGGATCAAAGGCATGAGGGAGGAGGGGATCTTGTAGAAAGAGGAGAAGGAACAGGGACTTTGGTCATGCGTGCCATGTGAAGACTTTGACTTCCCTTTCCTAGACTCCTGTAAATGACAGGAAATGATACTGTTTCAGCATTGTCCCTGCCGGAGCCTCAGGTGTGGCTGCTCTGGCCTTCTCTCCCTCTCTGTTTGGCCCCAGCTTTGCCCTGCCCACCCCTGGTTGTCTCTATTCTGGAGGCCGTAGTCCTTGTAGTCCCCCTCCCCCAGCTCCCCACCCTCTCCCAGCTCCAGGTTCCTCTTATCCACCTGCATTGCTGCTCCATGTCCGGTCGTTATCTGGGGTCAAAGCATTAGCAGAAAGTGGAGGGTTCCATTCTCTGCCTTGTCCTCGAAAGCCTTGGCAGGTCAAGTAACTTAACTGCCACTCCCACAGAGCCGCCTGGAACCAGGCTGCTCCCCACTGATTCACCTGGACTCTCTATAAGGCTGGGTATTGAATGGCAGGACTGCATCCAGGGCCCACGTCACAGGGACTTGGAGCCCAGCGCCCTTTGGAATCAGTGTACACATGCATGTGTGGGGGGTTGGGGTGGGGGAGGGGGAGGGAGGCTGTTTTCTGAGGCTCTTTCCTTCAGCCTTTGGTCTGCCTTCCCTACCCAACCAGCTCTAGTCCCCTGTTTTGACCACTATCACATTTTCTTTTCTTCCTTCAAAAGTAGCGTGGGTTTCTTTGTTTTAAATCGTGTATATGAGTGTTGTGCCTGAGTGCATGAATGTGTGCACCACATGTATGCCTGGTGCCCACAGAAGGCAGAAGAGGACTCCAGATCTCTTAGAAGAACTGGAGTTATGGGTGCTTGTAAGCCATTTTTGTGGGTTCTGGGAACTAAACCTGGGTCCTCTCCAAGAGCAACAATTTCTCTTAACCATTGAGCTATCTCCCCAGCTCCTTTTCTTTTTTTTTAAGAATAGTGGTAGTACACACCTATAAATCCAAGCACTCGGGAGGCAGAGGCAGGCAGATCTCAGTGAGTTCGAGTCCAGCCTCGTCTACAGAGCAAGTTCCAGGACAGCTAGAGCTATTACACAGAGAAACCCTGCCTCAGAAAAACAAAACAAAATAAAACCAACCAACCAAACAAAAAAGATTCGCTGTCTTTATTTTATGTGCATCGCTGTCTTGCCTGCATGTATGTCTGTGCACCCATGCATACCTGAGACCAGGAGAGGCTGTCTGATCCCATGAGACCGGGGTCACTGACAGCTCTAAGCTGCTGTGTAGGTGCTGGGACCCCAGCCCTGATCCTCTGCATGAACAACAAGTGCTGGACTGTCGGCGTGTGACACCAGCCTGGCTTTGGGGTCATCTTCTTACCATGCTACCTCCTCTGAAAACTGGCTGACTTTTCACACCCTCGGGTTCGGGTTCACCCGTTCTTCCCTTCTGGAACCGAGCTGTAGGGAGCACTTTAGTACCGCATTGGCGCAAAGCTGCACCCGGACCCAGGAAAGTCAGCATTCATCCTAAGCCATGAAGGAAGAAATTCCCCTTTTGTGCCGGGCTCTGAGTAATAATGGCTTTGGCAGTTTGCACAGACAATTAAAAGTTCCTTGTAATGTTAAACATGGGACCTTAATGCTGTTATTATTAATACAAATTATCGATATTGTATGATACTTAACATATGGCAGACACTTGCTAATACTCCATATGAATCTAACCATATAGGTGTCTGTGGGTTTCTTGTCTGTTTTAATGTGTGTGTGTGTGTGTGTGTGTGTGTGTGCACATGGACGCTGGGGACGGATTTAAGGCCTTGCACTCTGCCACTAAATTGTACCTTGAGGCACCCCGTCCCATTTATTTCTCCTGGCTTATTCACATTGAAAACTGAATGATGAAAGGAAATGAGGCCTCCAGCAGTGGGGACACCTCCAGCTGCTCTGGTGGGGGGGTTGTCTTGGGGATTGCAGAGGAGAGGAGGGGAGGGGAGAGAAAGGGAGAGGAAACATCAGGGTGGGCATGCTGGAGGCTGGAAGTCAGCAGTGGCTCACAGGGAGAAGGGCCAGGAACTCTGGTTTCAAGTCCCCTAGCCCTAGGCCCCCATTCCTGGATTCTCGTCACTGGTCTGAGAGTCTCAGCTGCTGAAGGCAGAAGTGTCACACATAAAGACGGTCACGAGATCTTGAGTGATCAGGGGTGAGTAGTGTCCCAGTGTAGGGGTCACCTGGGAGAAGACCTCACACATGGGGCTGGCAGAAGGTACCCACCCCTAGGAAGGGCTGGCAGGCAGAAGGTGAGGTTTCACTGAAAGGAGCGGAGAGGACAATGCGGCCTTGTAATGGGAACCGGAATCCGGGTTCTCTGTGCTCTGCCTCCCAGCGTGCAGTGTCATAAGGCTTTTTCCTTACCCCTAAAGCTCCAGGATGTGATACACTATCTCTGGGGTCAGTCCCAATGGATGCATCAGACTATCTAGAGCTGGGTGTGGCGGTGCACACCTGTAATCTCCCCGTGTAGGAGGTGGGAGGAGCAGAAGCACAAGGCCAGCCTCAGCATTACAGGGAGTTTGAGGCCAGCCTGGGCTAAATGAAACCCGATTTCCATCAATACAAAATAGCGTGTTTGGGAAAAGGGCCCTGGGAACCCTTCAGAACTGGAAGCATCTTTTTTTCTTTTCGGCCTTGGAACTCACAGAGATCTACCTGCTTCTGCCCCCCCCCCCCCGAGTGCTGGGATAAAAGCTGAGCCCCACCATGGCCTGACTATTGGGGAGCATCTTTACAGACATGGCCTACTGACTCTTCACAGCACCCTATGTGAGGGCAGGCATTTTCACTCTCATTTAATAACTGGGGAGCCAACCAAGACTTAGGAGGGGGGCTTTACACACACACACACACACTGTTGGTGGCAGAGTCATGGTGGGCAGCTAGGGAACCTGTCTGAAAGAGCACAGATGAAAGTCAGTGGGAGGGGGCTGAGTGGGTGAGTGGGTCAGGCCCCAGGCAGAGTAGAGAACTAGATTTGGTTTTCTTTCCATTTAGGCTGGATGGGTGAAGGACCGAGAAAGTGGGATCAGAGGGAACCCTGGGGTGAAGGGGACAAAGTGTACTCACCAGACACTGCCCTCCCTCCCTCAACTCCTGCCTGCCATCCCACGAGAAAGGCTATCTTTGTTCTGTCACTTTGAGAACAGCCTTGGTGTGTGTGTGTGTGTGTGTGTGTGTGTGTGTGTATTGGGGGGGTAGTCTAAGCTCACCCACCTGAAAAGCAGAGGTGTCTGAACTGGGATTCGGTGAGTTTGACTCTGAAACTCTAGGTGTTCCCAGTTCGTGTTAAGTGGGTTTGGGGTGTCAGGCTGTGGGACCCAGGCTACAAAGCGTTAAAAGAACCTTGGCCCTCTCCTCTCCTGGTTCCCTCCTCCCTCCTCCCTCGCCTCTCCCCAGGCTCTTCCGGTACCCGCTCTTGCAACACCACCCCCGCCACTCTCCCTTCCCCTCCTACCTCCTCGCTCCTCTCAGCTTTAATTTTCTCCGAGTTTTCCGAACTCTGGCTCCTGACCGGGCCTACTGGGTTCGAGGTCCTGGAGGACCGTGCCCTGATCTCTAACCAACCCTCGACTTCCAGCTGCTCTAACCTGACGCCCCGGCTGCCATTGCCCGGGCCACCTGGTCTGCTCGGCGCACTTCATTCACCGGCCTTGCCAGTTGCTGCACAGTCCCCAGCCCCAATGGGGGAGTGAGAGGCCACTGCCGGCCGGACATGGGTCTCCCCACCGTGCCTGGCCTGCTGCTGTCACTGGTGAGATGGAAGACAAGAGGGAAGGGTGGCCTGCTGGCGAGGCCTGGCGGGAGTGGGCATGTACTCGGGGTAGGGGTTGGGGCAGGGACTTCTCTGCTTCGGTTTGCCTGTAGGCATGCTGTGCCTCACCTGGGGCTCCCTGAGAGGTGCAAGGGAGACGTCTGAGAGAGAGAGAGAATTGTGGCAAGTCAAGCCCCTAAGCCCCCAGCGGGACAGCCAAGGGGGCTTGCTGGACTTGGGGTGTGTTGGGCTGTGGGGAGGCCAGCTGCCAAGCCAGTGGAATTAGGCGGAGCAGCCCTGTTTCTCTGGCAGACGTTGAATAGCATGGGTCAGGATGTTGGGAGACTGAGTCGAAGAAGGGGTTCGGTTGGTGACACAAGTTGGTGCTTGGGAGTGAACCAGGAAACTGGACGAAGCTGGGCAGCCGGGCCCAGACTTCTTCCCTGAGACAGCCTTGGCCTTTTGGCTCCCAGGTTGGCTTCCCAGACAAGAGGTCTCCATTGGCCTAACCTTCCCTAGGTAGACAGCACCTCCTTTACTTTGGCAGTGTATCCTCCAGCCCCCACCCCCCAGACCTAAAAGGCGTCTCACCGGTTTCCAATTCCACGGTTCAGATTGGGGAAGTTGGTAGCAGCTTGTTTTCGTCACTGGAAAAATGTCCTTTTCTCTGGCGTCGGCCTTGTTTTCGTGTTTCCTTGGTTTCTCTCTGCATGCTTATCATCATTCTGTGGCGATGCTCACAGCAGGGGCTCCATGGCTGTCTGGTGGACCGTGTCTCTGAGTGCCGCCTTCTTCCCCATGCCTCTCCTCTCCTCATTCCTCCTTTCCTGTCAGTCCCCAGGGCCTCCTTTTGTAGCTCCTTTCCGTTCATTCCCTTTCTTCTTCTCGTTCTGTCTAAACCAATGTTTCCAGAATCCTGGACTCCCCCAGTCTGTGTGGTCTCATGTCTTTTCATTCCTCCTCTTTGGTCTCCTAATCTCAGCTCATGACCCCCCCTCGTCAAGACTGCCCCTTCTGGGCATGCCCCCATCATCCAGCTTCCCATCCCCTTAGTTCTGTTCTCTGTAGGGCTGATCACCTAGAGGTGAGGCTCAGCACAGCAGCCCGACCTGCGTGAACGTGGGCATTCTGTTTCCAGAACGGCTCTAGTGATCACTACTTCACGGGTGTTATTTTAAGATAGTCTAGATGGATGCCTGTTAAATATTTATCCAATTTATTAACCCTTACTCTGGGTTAGGCCCACCTTTCGGTGCTAGGATTAGAGATGAGTGAAGCCCCTGAGGTCAAATTGGCTGGCCTGACGGGGACAAGTACGCCTCAGATAGAAGGGGATCATTGACTGCTTGGTGTCTATTTTCTCATGACTGCCAGTGTTCGTCGTCACTGCCCAATGGCAGCCAGTGTTTGATAGAGCAAAACCAGCCTGGATAGGTAGAGGCGCCCTCCTGATCCAGCTGTGGTGGCCCAGGTGGGGATGGGCCACTCTGAGCAGAAGGGGAGCCTGAAGACAAGGGACCCCAGAAGGCAGGTGAGGTCTACCTAGGGCTGTGCACTGCCTTGGCAGTACCTAGCGCAGCGCCTATGAGGTGGAAGAGTGACGAGGAGCCGTTGGGGTCAGGAGGGAGCAATGTACATGGCCGGGATGTGACAAGGCCAACAAGATTTTGTTACTCTCAAAGAGTTTAAATATTGGAGTCAAAATGACTCTAGAACAGTCCAGAGCAACAGACATGTCAAAGCCTTGTGATGTAGTGTCCTGGAGGCAGAACTGGGGGAGGGGGTGGGCCACAGGCCAAGTGTCTTTGCTTGCTTAAGGGCCCTTGCCTGTCTGCTGGGCTGAGCCTGCCTGCATAGATCGTTTTTGTTTTGTTTTGTTTGTTTTGTTTTTCAGGACAGGGTTTCTCTGTGTGACAGCCTTAGCTGTCTTGGAACTAGCTAGCTCTTGTAGACCAGGCTGGTCTCGAACTCACAGAGATCTGGTTGCCTCTGCCTCCCGAGTGCTGGGATTAAAGGCGTGCGCTGTCTCTGCCTGGTGCCTGCATAGATCTTTGGCTTACGGAGAGATCTTGGGAGTGTGAGCTATTTTCCACCCATTTTGGCATTTCCAGCACCCATGAGGATCCTGGAACGGAGATCTTGACACTTGACTAATGGCTGAATCAATTAGGGAAGAAGAGATTGGTCAGATGGGACCGGGGAGGGAATGCCGCATTGGAGAAGAGGACTTGAAACTGGCATCCGAAGCTGGAAAAAAGGGAGGGTGGAGGAGCTGGGAGACTGGGTTGGGGGAATGGAGACCAGATCTCCAATTTTATGT